TCTTTATTGGCAGCTATATAGGTACTTTTGATGATCAATAATAGAAAAATAAACGTACCAATTAATTCTTCCTCTTTCTGTGTTGCGGCAGCTTTAAGTTGCTTATTTTCATTTTGTAAATCTTCAATTTCTCGATTTTTTGTTCTATTAACTTTATCCCGTAATTCAGACTCTATATCTAAATAAATAAACAACAATGCATTAAATATTTTTACCTTTTGATGCAGTTTGCATTTTTCCCATGGATTCATCAGATAAATGCTGCTCCTTTAGTAGATCTAATCCTGCAACATTTTTAATTATATGGGAAATGCTCGTGTACTTTCATTTGTCTTCATCAGTTCTTTTTGCATTGAGTCAAACTCTGATTCTTTTTGATCTGTGATAAAATAGTTCCTGTACAAACTAAATTATAAATGAAACATACCAATGATCTTGTGACTCTCTTCAAGTCTTATTTTTAATTTTTCTATTTGTTGTAGCTGACTCTCTGATGATTCTTTAACTGATGCTAACTCTGTTATAGTTAAACCATAAACTAAATTATGCATTTACATGTACATACGCATACCACTAGCGAGGGCATTGACTTCATTGTCTTTTGCATTTAATTTTTGCTGAACGAACTCAAATTCTTTTATGACACCTAAAATTAAAAAAAAACTTTTTGAGGGCATATTGTAAATCCATAACTTCAGTGTCTGATTCTGCAATCATTATTTTATTCTTTTGTCTCAATTATGTCATAATAATTTCTTACTAATCTCTTTTTCTTTAATAAAAGCTTTAAAATGTTCAATCTCTTGATCTTTTCCTTTAATTTCTTTATTTAAGTCATCAATATCACCTGTAAAGTGTACAAATATTGTTCACTTAATTTTGTATACCATACAGTAATACCTGATGTTAATGACGTCTGTGTTTGTTTAGATAGATCATATACAACTGATTCACCAAAACCAATTGTTGTAATCTGTATGTGGTGCTTATGCAGTGGCTCCAACTCATACAAAACTGCTCACCATGCTTATCATTTTTTTGTCATCAAATGATGAACCTGTTAAATTACAATGATTATGCTTATTAACAATATATACTTTCTGAACTTGTAGACGCAGACTTTCCTCTAGGTTGCTTTGCCAAGTAAATATCACTCTCTTTAACATCATCATCATAATAGCAAAAATGCTTTCCTACAACAAAAATAATTAAATTAGCTCCAAGAAAAAGTATAACTTACTATATTCTTGAAAGATAGTATCTCCAATGTGAGCAGTATCTGAGAACTTCCTCAATACAGTAACAAACA